TTGAAAGCTTAGCTTCTAGATGAATTCATTGACAACCTTCCAATTTAAGTTCAGAGTCCGCTGAGCGAAAGGCCATTAGACATTCCCAGGGCAGGTCTAGGATATGGAAATCACTATCCTAGGCTCTAATTCAAAGTGAACTCAGTGCCAATGCTCCTGTGACAGCCAGCCTGGTTCCCTGATCCAGTGAACGGAGCAACCGTTTGCAAGTAGATGCTCCCTAGGCATAGCCATCCCAGATCACCGACAACGTTGTGCAGGCGAGGGGGCCACACATGGCTCAGTTGCTGATCTGTGAAATCAAAGAGGTAGAATTAACTTCAGAAGTAAAGTCACCAATCTTTCTTTTTCTCTTTCCATTTTTCTCTCATATGTAAGGTCTGCCTGTGTGTGTGTGTGTGTGTGTGTGTGTGTGTGTGTGTTTATGCATGCCAGAACATGTGTCCATGCTCACCTGATCATGTGGAGGCCCAAGCTTAATGTTAGGAATGATCCCTTGCTGCTTTTCCATTTTAGTCCCTGACGCGGAGTCTTCCAGTTAAACCCAGAGTTTGCCGATATGGCTAATTTTTCTAAGCAGCTTACACTGGAGGTCCTCTATCTCTGGATTCCAGGCAGGCCGGCACACAGACCCCACATTTATGTGAGTTTCTGGAGATCTGAACTCTGGTCCTCATGTTTACAGCAATGTTATAACCACTTAGAAATCTTCTCAGCCCCCATCATGTTTTTTTTTTGTTGTTGTTGTTTGTTTTTGTCTTTTTTTTTTTTAATTAAGAATTGTATTAGACAGAGCTGTCAAGATGGCTTAGTGGCTGGAAATGCTATCAGACTTGAAGCTTGAGTTCAGTTCCCAGAACCCACACTGTAGAAGTATGCCAACTTTTGCAATTTATCTTCCTGTAACCTGTAACCAACCTGCTGGAAATAAATATTTTGTAAAGAGACATTTGTGTCTGTCACCAAGCTGTAAGGTGACTGAATTTATGAATCTCAGGAAACTAGAAATGCCTCCAACACCCCCAGGAATCTCCTGCTGCAAGAAGAAAAATGCTGAAGCCTGGTGTCCACGGGAGGGGACCTTCTCTCCCAGGAATAGATTTTACACAGTGATGAAACTTTGTCAGACCTCCTTACAGCCAAACTGAAGCCCAGACAATGACGGGTCAAGGGTGGGCAGGACCAGACCTTGACCAGGACTGCTCACATGTGCATATCTCTACCTTTTCATTTGAACTTTGATCTCATTTCAGGACCTTAATAATGGGCTTGAGGGGAGTCACTGAATTTCTTTATCCATCTGCCCAGGGTGGCCACATTGAATGCATCTCCTTCTTTTTGTTTCCTTACTGTTAATTTGTTATATAATTGGCCTCTTCATTTTTAGTGGCTGGACCTGAGGGCAGAGATTGTGGCCACAGTGTGTGAACATGAGGCGTGTGTGCTATGGTGTGCGGGTGTGCATGTGTGCGTCTGTACTCGCACAAACACACATTAAAATTTTAAATTATATCAGAACATATTAGTTATAGAAAATAACAGGTTTCATGACAAGATGTAAAATGCCTGCTCTTAATGGTGTTCTATACTAAATTACAACTCAGCACAATGGTAGGTTCTGGAAAGTTAACTAGCACAATGAAGTTAGGTACAATTACTATGTGCCAGGTGAAAATGAAAATATAGTAAGTACAGGGTGTGCTGGCTGGCCTCATGTCAACTTGATAAACATCCTGGAGTCATCTGAAAGGAGGGACTCTCAATTGAGAAGGTGCCTCCATAACATCCAGCTGTATGGCATTTTCTTAATTAGTGATTCATGGGGGAGGGCCCAGCCCCAGGTAGGTGGTGCTATCCTTGGGCTGGTGGTCCTGAGTTCTGTAAGAAATCAAGCTAAACAAGCCATGAGGAGCAAGCCAATTCACAACACCTCTCCATGGCCTCTGTATCAGCTCCTGGCTCGAAGCAATAGAAACCCAAAGACAAAAGGGCATTAAATCTAGTTATCTGTTTAGGCTATTTCAAATTTTTTGGTATTGTTGGGAATATATGAATCCTAGTTTGTTTTGTCCTTTTGTTGTTGTTGCTTGCTTTTTTGTTTGTGTTTTTTTTTTTTTGTTTGTTTGTTTTTTGCTTTTTTTTTTTTTCTTTTTAACAGAGTTTCTCTGTGTAAGTCCTGGCTGTCCTGGAACTTGCTTTGTAGACCAGGCTGGCCTCAAACTCATTGAGATCCACCTGCCTCTGCCTCCCGAATGCTTGGGTTAAAGGTGTGCGTCACCAGTCTGTTTTGTCCTATTCTTGTGTTAGGGAACATGAAGAGAAAAATTCCCAAAAGGCTTGAGTAAGTTGAATGGAATCTTTATTAATTGTTTCAAGTAGGTTAAGAAGAAGCAGCTTCTGATCACCAGTTTGTTCCAGATTTTAAGAACAAATATTTCTATATAAACAAATAAAAATAAATAATAAAAATGTGACTGTCAGGTCCCAAAGAAACTCAGCACAAATGGCTAATTGTAATGACTATTAGTATATATAAATATGCTAACTGTGGTGCTTATTAGCATATAGGAATTCTCAAGTACCTGAGACACAGCATCCTGGCTCCTCTCAGCTGTCTCATCCAACCCCACCCCTACCCTAAACCTCTCCACTCAGGGCCTTTGCTTCCCTTCCTCCAGCTTCTGATTTCTATAAAAACCTGCCATTTTGGCTATGGCCTTCTTGTCCTCTTGGTCCTAGGCTCCTCTCAGTCTTCTCTCCTCTCTCTCTCTCTCTTTCTCTCTCTCTTTTCTTTCTCTCTTATCTCCTCCCACCCCCCATGGTCTGATTCAGTCTGGATCCTTCCAGATGCTTCTGGCTGTTCTCTCCCTCTTATCTACAATAAACACCTCCTCCTCAGCCTTACCTTGGAGGAGTCATGTTCTCATTTGTGTCCAGTGACACATACAGAAGGCATCTTCAACAAAGTGTTTGCAGAAGTGGAGAGATAACAGTTAAGTAGCAGGCAGTTAACCTTCAGCTCAGAGTCATGCTCTATAGGAGTTTGTGGCTGGTCCAGAGAACAGCTCACCAAAGCCATTTAGGGCTGGGCTAAGAGAACAGAGGCTGGTTTTTACCCAAGATAGCTTTAGTGCTTAAAGTATTCTGAGGCACACTTTCATGAGATGGCATAACTTTAATGCAGTAGCTCCCTACATATTTTTTTGCTTATTCTAGTTATTATTATTATTTTAGATGCCTATTTGTTTTCTAATGAGAAAGAGAGGGTGTGGATTTAGGTGGGTGGAGAAGTGGGGAGGATTTGGGAGGGGTTAGGAGACAGGAAATTGTAATCAGAATATTACTATCTATACATAAAAAACAATTTTCTAGGTTTTTAAAAAAATAAACAGAATTTAAAAAACAAATTTTAAAACACATGAATTGTCCTTTAATAAGATCAAAAATGTTGAGCAGTACTCAGAGCCACCTGTGCAAGGTGGAGCAGGATCCGGGCTGCTCTTCCAAACCAAGGCTTTCCTAAGGTTCCGATCCAATGTTGGACTCTTCCTCCAGCCTCTACCCTCCACCAGTGAAATTTCTACTTTTAAAAGTTTACTCTGGAACAAGAGAAATGGTCTGCCCTGGAACGAGCCTCCTGATTGGTTATCCAATGTTTTCAGGTCCAAAGGAAACTCCAGTCCCCCAAACTCCAAAAGGCAGTCCAAATATCCAAAATTAGTTTAACCTGGACCACAGGAGGATTTCTTGCCGTTCAATAAAAGCCAGCATTCCTCTGGAACTTGTGAAACTGGTTCCCCACTACCAAGAGGGGTCATTTCCCTTTCCTCTGGCAGAAGGAACAAATGGCTACCTGTGAGTGCATATGAAAGCCCATGCAAGCCTCTGGCCCCTGCATATCACAAGGACTTGGTTCATATTGCAATGTCCTTGCTGGCATCTTAGCCCTTCTCATCCTCTCCTCTACCTAAACTCCCTCCCGTTCATGCCCCTCCCCCCAAGCCAGCTGCTCATCCTTCTTATACCTGGGCTATTTTCACTAGTCTCTGCTCCTGCTATCCATACACTGCTCTTCCTACTCTCTATTCCCTGCTCTTCTCTCCTCTTTCCCAGATAGCCCTGGCCATGTCCAGTCTGTTGGCCACTTTCAGTCTACTTCTTTCTCTCTCTGATCTGGATTCTTCCAGATGCCTCTGGATGGTCTCTCTCTCATATCCAAACAAACACTTTCCTTTAACTATACATCTTAGCAATTTCTTTACTATACCTCCCTTTTGTACACACAAGTGGTCAGCCCTGAAATCTTAATTACTGAGCCATCTCTCCAGGCCCAGCCCTGAAATCTTACACATACAAGTAACCCTAAACAGACTGAGAAGGTTGTATTTGTATGTTTATGAATAAATAAGTAATGACAACAAAGAAAAAAGAGGCCATGGATTTGAGAGGGAGCAAGGGAGGGACCTGGAAAGGGTTGGAGGAAGGAAAGGGAAGGGAGAGATGATGTAATTATCTCTTCATTTCAATAAATGAATCAATTTTTAAAAGAAAAATGTAGTGACTGCAAATCAATATAAATAAAGGTAAAAAGCCAATAAAACAGACTCCTTATTTAGTAATTTTGGTAAGTTGTCCCAATTCCTCAGAAACTCTTGGGTGTTGGGTTTGGATCTGAGCAGTCACACTGAGAGTCAAGTTCATCTTTCCCTTTCCGGAGATGTTATTTGTCCCTAGGATTAAACGCAACTTTCGCACATTTTATGAATAAGAAAGGTAAGTGGAGAGGTCCTTAGAGTCAGTTTGTGTGCTTTAATTCCTAATCTTCACTGTTTACTTGGCTTTGTCTCAGAATAGAGCTGTGACCATCCTGGAATTCAACCTCTGGGCAAGGTTCTTCCTGCTGCTACAGCTCTACACGACTGAACTCACTCAAAAGACAGCAGCTGGGAAGCTCCCTAAACCTGGGCATTTCTTCTACACACTCATTTTCTTCAGTGCAGATACCTCAAGCAAACATATGGAGACTCAGAGGCAGAGCTGGAAGCCGGCGACGTGGTTGTCTTTGGGAAGATACCACATTTCTGAGGAGTATGGCTTCCTTCTTCACAGTCCTCTGGTAAGGGTCATTGCATCCCAGCTGGCACGGTGTCTTGATTGCTTGATTTTACTTCGTGGGGGTTATTGTAAGGGTCAGTATAATACAAAATCACTATCGAGAGGAAGATGTTAGAAATGCCATCCTGTGATTCCCAGTAAACAGCATTGGCTGCTGCTGGGGATAGCACAAACAGCAATGTTTCCCCCGACGACTCCTTAAATACATCATAGTGAAGCCTGAAACATCAGAAGCAAAGATGCTGTCAGAGAGGAGTAACTACCAGGACGTGATGTAAGGGCATCATTCTACTGCAGGTGTAACACTGAATAATGGAATTGCCCCACTGTAGATCCACTTGGTTTTGAAACATTTGCCTGGCATCCCAGAGACTCCTAAGCAGTTAATGTGCTGAGCTCTGTGTTGGTACAAATTGTTTATCTTACTTGCAGGCCACACCAGAGACAATGGGAGACCTTCGGTGTTTTCAGAGCTGATAAAAAGATTAGACGGTATCGGGAATTTCTGAGATGAGGAAGGAACATTGGAAAACAAGCAGTCTCAACTTTCAACCCTACTGTGTTTGTTCCTTTTTGTCAGACGGTCTTTATCAGACCTGCTCCCATTAAATGTAGTCTGAGCTTAGAAGATGTGATCAGGCAAAGGGCTAGCGGCAAAGCCAAGCTCTTGGCATCTTTTAAAAATTGTTCATAAGTAACAAAGCCTGCTCAGTTAAAAGTCTAGGAATCCGAGGTAGCAACCTTTGTAACTGCTTATCAGCACCAACATCCTGCCTCCACCTAGTTCCTCTCTTACTCTTGTATAAAAAATATCAGGAACTCAAATACTTATTGCAAGGAGACTTCGTTTGCTCTGATTTGGACAGTGTATCGCTATGCAGCCTGGGCTGGCAACTTTCCTCAGCTTCCTTGGTTCTGGGATCTTTGCTGAGCTTTCACGCTCGATCTTTTACTGTTTCCAGAGGGATCAAACTGACAGGAGAACTAAGTTCTCTACAGAAAGCTGTCAGCTGTGACATCAGTCCCACCTCTGCAGTTTGGGATGGGGGTGGGGGGTGGGTGTGGGGTGTGGGGGGGTGGGGAGGTGAGGTATTTATTTGAACAGGGGTCTGTACTTTCAGGGCAAATCTCACAGCCTCCCTGCAGCTCTTTTTGGACAAAAAGCTAAAAAGAAGTCTGTACTCTGACAGGACAGCCTTCAACTTAGGGCTCCTGGCTCCTCCAAGCTCCATGTCACATAGGCCGTGCTAAACTAAAGCACCTGACAAGGCTTCCACATGCCCCACCAAGGTATTAAAAGTCAGATTTCTTTTTTGTTCTGGGAATTGATTTGAGAGTCCTTAGGGGATTTCCTGAGGGAGGGGCTCTGAAGGTTGTTTCACTAAAAGACTTCTCTTTGTGTCTGTGCTCTCTCTCTCTCTCTCTCTCTCTCTCTCTCTCTCCTTGGAAGGCAGGAGGATCACAAGCTCCAGGCCAGCCTGAGCTATGTAGCTAGACCCTGTGACCCTGTCTCAAAACAGAGACAACACCAAAAGTTCAACCAACCAAAGTGCCACAAAGCACTCTCCATTGTGTGTGCAAGGCTTCATTCCAGAACATCCCCATCCTTCCAAGCTCACAGGAGAGGAAGACACAGAGACACGCCCTTGGCATCACTAAGCATGTGGATGGAGTTTGGAAAGATAACACTGCATTCAGGGAAGCATCAGGTCAGGGTTTTCTGTCTCTTTCCTCTTTATAAATATTGGGACCAGAGAAAACACGATAACAACATCAAGTTCTCCTCCCATTGTTAGAAAGGATCTTTGTTGTTGCTTGGGGGATGGATAACTCTTAAAAGGAATCCCCAGTCTTGCTCACACCGAAAAGAAAAATTCCAGGATCCACCCCAGAAATGGCTTATATCCCAGTACTTTCAGTATGATTCTTTGTTTTTGTTTTAATTTTCTTTCATTCATGTGAGGGTTTTCTGGTAAAGGAGGAGGAAGGGACTTTGATTAGAATCAGGCCCTGGCTGACCCAAAGTGCAATACAGACTCAGCTCACCTGCACTGGACAAATAGTGTCACAACACACTGATCACTGGTTGGGCAGGAGTAGTGGGTGTGACCCAGTCCACTGCTCTAGGACCTTTTCTTCTCAGGCGGAGGGCTAATGTGAGGAGGGCTGCCTTTCACCAATATCTTCCAGGTGGTCCTTAGGGTCCTTAAAATAAGTATCTACCAGAAAATCTCACTAAAGAAACCATAGCTGGATAAGGAATGAGAGGGTACTCTGGCTTTGGGGAGGTAGACTGGCTAAGTTTTACATATCCTAACAGGATTTTTCTATAAATCAAAAATTTCCACTTTTCAGTGTCCCTGTGGAGAATCACTCCTCACATCTGTAAAAAAAAATACCACGAGAATTCTTTGATAAGACATCTGTCTTCTCTGTGTGCGCTGTTCTCAGGGAGAAGAGCAAAATCTATCTCTGCAGACAAAGACCATAAGGAAGTCAGTCTGCAGGAGAGGAGTCCCAGAGAGGAGGCAGCAAGTGGCTGGACTGCAGCAGAGCTCAGACCAACAATGCCAGGCTCTGGAAATTGATTTAACAGCCTTTGTAAACACAATGTGACTGCTCTCTGAGACATTTTCTCACACAGCATCGAGGGCTGGGCGAGTTAGAGCAGTGGTTCCTGAGTGAAGCCATTAGGAGAGTTTTAACAAATAACCCAAACGTTGAGTCCCATCCTGTTTATGCAGACTCTAGACTCTGGACTCTACCAGTAGATGGCTGCCTGAGAGGACAGGCTAGCCAAGCCAGCTATGAAGGAGTCCCCACCCAACAGGACCTCCTAGAAGGGCTGGGAAGTAGTTTTAAGTGCTAAAATAAAGGAAAGTAGATAAACTGATATGACTGCTCCATGGCATGGTTCAGGGGGAAGATTTGTATTGCAGATATGAGACAGAGAGCAGCCACAGGCATTGGAAGAGACGTGGCCAGCAAACTGGCATGGCTGGGGCTATCTGGAGAGATGGGAGAACAGCAGGGTATAGAGAGTAGGGAAAGAATAGGGAGAGGAACAGAACAGAACTGGGATTGAGGAGAATACAGCAAGAATAGCAGGGTCACAGGGAGAATGAGTAGTTGTGAGCTGGGGGCTGGAGTTAGGGTAGGGTAGGGGGTAAGAAGAGCTAGGATGCTAGCTAGCATGGACTTTGAAATGTATAAAAGGTACTTGTGATTCTGTAAAAAGAGGCTTTTCTGTCCCATCTGGTCCTATAGCCTCATTTAAAATAATCACTCAGAGGCTTAATGTTAATTACAAACCATTGTCTATTGTTCAGGCTTATTACTAACTAGCTCTTACAACTCAAGTCAACCCATTTCTATTAATCTATATTTTGCCACTTGGCTTCATGAAGTTACCTGTTAGTACATCTCATTGCTTCTGGCCCATGGCATCTGCCAGCAACTCCATCCTTCTCCTTGTATCTCTTGGATTTCCTGCCTGGCTCTATCCTGCCTTGCTAAAGGCCAAAGTGGCTTCTTTATTAACCAATGGTAATAAAACATAATTACAGCATACAGAATGGTTATACCATAGCAGGTACTAAAGGGGCCTGGCACCTCAGGGAGCCATTTGTTCCTTCTGCCAGAGGTAAGGGAAAGACTCCATTTGTCCATTTTGTAGAAGGGAACCAGTTTCACAAGTCCCTGAGGAATGCTGGCTTTTATCTAATCACCAGAAATTCTTCTGTAGACTATGTTGAGACCATCTTTGGACATTTGGACTGCCTTTTGGAGTCTGGGGACTTGGAGTTTCCTTTGGACTTGACAGAGAGGAGACATTGTACATGCTCCACTGGGGTAGACAGAAGGACTGACATAATGGCCATGAGGATGCCCTCCAGGAAAACAAATTTGTACCTTCTTCTTCAGAAGGAATTCTAAGCAGTTGGTTGAAGTATTGGGCCACACCTGGTTAGAAGAGAGGGTAGAAAATTAATTGCCACAGAAGGCTATACTTTTCACACAAGACAGAAAGGAAGAATTCTAACATTGCCTTGAAATGCAAGGTTATCATGTCTGGGGCACAGGTGACTAGGCAGACTGGGGATATGAAACACAATGAATATCCAGAGTAGATATAGAGACAAAGGGAGCAGACTGCATACTGGTTAACATTGGCCAAGATTGGAAAATGCACACGGAAATAAAGGAGAATGTAATGACTATGGGGTTTTTGTGCCAGTATTAAGGATCCAAAAAGATTGGAAAGACAGTGTGAAAACAGGCAGTTAACCATGAATGAAAACAAAGGAGAAAGAAAGAGGAAAAAAGGAAGGAAGGAAGAGAAGAAATGAAATAAAAAAGAAAGAACACAACTGGTCCTAGTTTTCAGTACCAGATGAATGGAAAAAAGATATAAAAAGAGAAGGACATGACAGCTTCTAGAGGTGTAGTGGAGGAGAAAGCTTGTTGTAGATAGAAGGGAGCTCACAGGGAGTGGCAGAGACATCTAGGAGAGTCCAGAGTAAGCCATGTGAGGAGAGGAGGAGGGGAAAGGAGGGGAGAGGAGGGGAGAGGAGGGGAGAGGAGGGAAGAGGAGGGGAGAGGAGGGGAGAGGAGGGGAGAGGAGGGGAGAGGAGGGGAGAGGAGGGGAGAGGAGGGGAGAGGAGGGGAGAATAGGGAAGCCAGGTGCAGCAGCCAGGAAACCCAAAAGGGAGTACTGGTAGCCAAAATGCTGGATTATATAGGAAAGGGAATCTAGGGAAAGGGCAGCCCAACTCCTGGGCTGGAGAATTTAGGGTAGGGGTGGGGTGTGCCAACTAGGAGGGCCTTTTAACAGGTAGGGACTGAGGGCTGCCAGGAAAACCTGGCAGCCAGGTCTGCTTTGATGTGTTAAATAGGCACCTCAGCCATTTATCCCAGGTTTGAAACCTAACAGTATTATGCTTTCTTATAGTTTATAAAATATCATGGTAACAAGATCACATGGTCCTAGGCCTGGAACCA